TGGCATAGCCCTCAGAATCACAGCAATTCAAACCACCACAGCACGAGAGACAGACGAGTGGCGGTTGTGTGGTCGCTGTTAAACACGAGTCTCCTTGCGCTACAGCCCTTAAGTCCGGCTCAAAGGTGGGATTTCCGTCCTCGGATGTCACATTCAGTCAAGAGGCGGAAGCGCAGCAGGGGCCACAGGGTTGTAATGAGACGCTTTGGGCTGCGCTTGTGGGTCTCTAAAGTTGGTCGAGCCCGCCTCAAAGCCATGATCCAGTGGCTAGGCAAGGAAGGCAACCTTGCATCCAGGGTAAGTAGGGCAGCCTAGCTGGCCGCTGCAGTCTCTTCCCTGCAGTCTCTTCCCGCGAGGCAGCGTCGTTTCCCCCCCTTCCCACACCCTCCCCACCGTCGACCTGGTCTCCAGACACCCCTCACCCCGCCGCTCTGTGATTTGGGTTTCATTTAACACCTCCACCAGGTCTGTGCAGTTCTCGCACATCGTTCAGCTGCCGCTCCCTCCATTAGCGCGACATTTAGCTTACTATTATAAGTACTTACCACTTTAACTGATGCAATCTTGTCTTCAAAAGGAATGTTTTCATGCTGCTGTACATAAATGGGAGACAAACATTAATGTATAGATTAATTTTATGCAGATAATTCCTATAAGCCTCTTTTGTTGATTTATACATCAAATATCAACTATCTATATATAACCTGAAGGGGAAAAGACTTGGAAATACCACAAAAAGTGACACTAGGTAGACTGTTTGTATAACAATTTTAATATCTAAAATGTTCAAAGATAAAACCTTAACTACAAAACAGCAGATTATGTGAATTTGCCTTAACAAAAATGCTTTCAAAAATTCATACAAATGTGTATTTTGAAAGTACTATGCCTGGATTTAAAAAAATTTGCAAAAAAATTAAAAGTGGACTAACTTTTTATAACATGTCTAAATAGGATTTAATTTTAAGGTGTGCTACTGCATTAGGCAAATCTGCTGCACAAGACATTTTTAAAGTGTTGAAGAACAAAGATGTCAGCTTGAGGACTAAGGTGCGCCTGACCTAAGCCATGGTATTTTCAATAACCTCATACGCATGTAAAAGCTGGATAGTGAATAAGGAAGACCGTAGAAGAACTGATGCTTTTGAGTTATGGTGTTGGAGGAGAATATTGAAAGTGCCATGGGCTGCCAAAAGAACCAACAGATCTGTGTTGGAAGAAGTGCAGCCACAATGCTTCTTGCAAGCCAGGATGGCCAAACTTCATCTCTCATACTTTGGACATATTGTCAGGAGAGACCAGTCACTGGAGAAGGATATCATGTTTAGTAAGGTGGTGGGTCAGAGAAAAAGAGGAAGACCCCCAACAAGATGGACTGGCCAAGTGGCAACATTGATGGACTCAAACGTGGCAACATTAGTGAGGTTGGCCCAGGATTGGGCAGTGTTTTGTTTTGCTGTGTATAAGGTTGCAATGAGTTGGTACCGACTCGATGGCACCTAACAACAACAACAACTGTAAGAGAATCACTGGATTGCTAACCCTATGTGGCAGTTCAAACCCACTAGTGGCAACTTGGAAACCCTTAACAGCAAACACAAAGAAGGATAAGACATTAGCTTGAAAAAAGACTCTACCAGGGCAAGATTAATTCTGATAAAGCTGAAGCAAAAAAAAAAAAAAAAACCATAAATTTATAATATAATTTACTGAAATGGTATCTAAACTTACTGCTATTGAATAGATTCCAATTCATGGAGACCCTATTGTTGTTAAGTCCTGTTTAGTTGATTCCAACTCACAGCAACCTTAAGGGTTTTCAAGGAGCAAATGGTCCTTGAAATGGACCATCTACCTTGTGGCTAGCAGTCTAGTGCTTATCCTAGAGTGCCAAATCAAACTCCATAAAAGAGAGGAAAACTGCTCCAGAGAATTTGCAAGACTAAATTTCTACAGGAGCAGGCAGTTTCATCTTTATCCAGTGGTGTGGCTGGTGGATTTGATCTTAATGACGTGAATGGTGTAAAGTTTTCAGAAACTTCATTTGCTGTTGGGGCACAGGGCATCCATCAATAATTGGAACATGAAATGTGAAAGTATGAGACTAGGCAAATTGGAAGTCGTCAAAACTGAAATGGAATGCATAAAGCTTGATATCCTTGGCATTAGTGAGCTGAAATGGACAGGTATTGGCCACTTCGAATATGAAAATTACATGGTTTACTATGCTAAGAATGACAAACTGAAGAGAAATGGCATCACATTCATCGTCAAAAAGAGCATTTCAAGATCTATCTTGCAGTATGGTGCTGTCTGTCATAGGATAAGAAATATCCATATGCCTACAAGGATGATTATTCAAATTTATGCAATGAAACCTGTGATGATGAAATTGAAGCATTTTACCAACTTCTTCAGATTGAAATTGATCAAACATGTAATCAATCACTGCACTGATAATTAATAGTGATTGGAATGTAAAAGTTGGAAACAAATAGAAAAGATCAGTAGTGGAAAATATGGCCTTGTTAGCAGAAATGATGCTGAAGATCGCATGGTAAAATTTTTGAGACTAAGGACTTATTCACTGCAAAGACTTTTTTTAAACAACATAAAAGGACCTCACTAGATGGAATACACAGGAGTTAAACTGACAACATGGATATGCTATCAGAAGATACAAGTCCTTGAAGAACGAGATCATGCATGGTAAAGTGGAGAATCCCCGAAAAAGAGAAGACCCCCAACGAGATGGATGGACACAGCAGCAGTAACAATGGGTTCAAAGCTAACAATTGTGAGGATGGTGCAGGACTGGGATGTGTTTTGTTCTGTTGTACATAGGGTTACTATGAGTCAGAACAAACTAGACAGAACCTAACAACATTGAAAGAGAAATTATGTCATTGGTTTTTCCCTCTCCTGTTCTTACAGGTAAATTATTTCTTCTTTTCTGGATTATATTAATATAGTATTTAATATATATCAAAGAACATGTCTCATATATGTAAGTCTTAAAACACAGTAAAAATAGATAATCACGAATCCCTGAGAAAAAGAGTAGTAACAACACAATACACACTGGACTACCTATGCTACTCCTGGTATGGCACTGTAGGATCAGTACTGGACTTTGAACCACAAGGTTGGCAGTTCAAATCCACTGCTTGCTCCCTGGAAACCCTACACAGGGTCACTATGAGTTGGAATTGACTCAGCAACACTTAATAGGACCAGCAGGACTATCTATGAGGCCCTCTCTCTATCTTAACTGCCTGCTTCCATCAAAGGAAGTCACTATCTAGAATTCTGTGTTTATACTTTGCTTGCTTTTTCTTTTTAAAATATTATTAGTTTTATCACACATGTATATATTACTAAAAATATATTAAAAACTTGTTAGTCTCATCTTAAGGTTTTAATTTTGAAAAATTTCACTAAAGCTGACAGAATTACTTGTATAACGAACATCCAAACACCTCTACCAATTGTTAAGAATTTTACACATATATAAATAAATGGATTTTCTTTTGCTTTCTGTACTATATAAAAGAAAATTGAAGAGACCATGACATTTCATGAACATACCTGCTAAGAATAAGTACTTTCTCCTATATTATTATTGTTAAGTACCATAGTCAGTTCTGATTCAGAGCAACCCTGTGTAAGTTTCCAAGGAGCATCTAGTGGATTTGAACCGCTGACCTTGCAGTACAAACTGACCGTGCAGTCCAGTGTATTGTCCTGCAGCACCACATCAGGATGCCACCGATAAAATATCATCTAATATAAGGGGAGGTGGTTCCAAAAATTCATGGAAAAATTCCATTCTTTTCTTCCCTTCAACTTTTCCATTGTCTTTTAATTCCATTTTTGCACAAACTTTTTGAAGCCTCCTTATAGAGCCCACACTCAAATCTCTCCAATTTGCTAATAATGTGGTTAAGTGCCGTCGAGTCAGTTCCGACCTATAGCGACCCTGCACAGGGTTTCCGAGGGTGAAAATCTTTACGGGAGTAGAAAGCCTCATCTTTCTCCCGCGGAGCGGCTGGTAGTTTCTCTCTATAGGACCACATTATTAGCAAACTGGAGAGATTTGAATATGGGCTATATACCTCTCTATGGAGTCCTGGTGTGGCACTGTGGACTAATGCACCAGACTGCAAAGCTGTCTGAACTGCAAGGTTGGCAGTTCAAGCTCACCAGCTGCTCCTTGTAAGCCCTGTACAGGATCGCTATGGGTCGGATTCAACTTGACAGCACATAAAAACAACACCACCTCTCTCTATTGTTGTTAGGTGCCATCGAGTCGGTACCGACTCATAGTGACCTTATGCACAGCAGAACGAAACACTGGCCGATCCTGGGCCAACTTCACTACTGTTGCCACACTTGAGTCCATCGATGCTGCCATTTGGCCAATCCATTTCCTTGGGGGGGGGGGTCTCTTCTTTTTCTCTGATCCTCCATCTTACCAAACATGATATCCTTCTCCAGTGACTGCTCCCT